GTAAGAGATATTGTCTTAAGTAAGTAGGTACATAAGAACATTGGAAGCGGATTAAACTGAAATATGCAAAAGAAGCTGCGACCAAGCAAAGCAAATACGATTCTGAAAGTTTATTTTCGTTTCTTCATTCTTTATCACATCTGTGCGTGTGTGTTTTTTATTCTTTTTTTTTCTTCATAGTTTATTTCGGCAGTTTGCATTTGTGTTTCTTGTCTGTTTGGTTTTTCTTTGCCTTTGCGAAAGCGGATAACACCAGAAAAAGATTTCTATAAAATGTAATTCAAAATTAAACATAAAAGTTTTTAAAATACAATACTATTCTTGCTTACTTTCAAAAAGCCGGCATAAAAAACTTTCTTCTGTCTGTATATATATATATATATATATATATATATATATATATATATATATATATATATATATGAGACCCTGGTTCGAATCTCACCATAGTCGATATGTCAGGAAGGAGACTGCCTGATGCTATCAAGTTTTTAAAAATTCATTGCTATTCATGCAAAATTTCCCAGCATAAAACCTGTCTATATATATATATATATATATATATATATATATATATATATATATATATATATATATATATATATATATATATATAAAAATAAATATATTGAACTCAAGACGAAGAAGCGACAGGCTGTTTCATGCTACACGCAATCGTCAAGCTTCGAGTGTTGGATTTTCTCAACTATTTATATACTGAGGATTGCGTCTAATTGCGTCTTCATTTCCAAAAGCCAACATAAAACCTCTCTCTTTCTTTCTTTCTTTCTCTCTCTCTCTCTTTCTCTCTGTATATATATATACATATATATATACATATATATATATATATATATATATATATATGCGTGTGTGTGTGTGTGTGTGTGTGTGTGACCTGGATTCTAATTTCTCTATTGTCAGTTTGTCAGGAAGGAGACTGCCTGATGTTATCGGACTGGAGGGGTCGATCCGAGCGTGCGGTACCTTTGGACAGTGTTAGAGAACCATACCACGGGTCGACCCAAGCCTTATGAGTGAAACTAGGTAGACAGAACCCTTTGGGATCGTTGATAGCTGTGCTGGCACGATGTCACAAGTTATCGTGGCCGACGGCTTGAGCGTGCTGCCCTTGTTCAAATGGTTGATCATGCTAGATAAGAAGCTCTTTCCCAGAAACTGTTACAAAGGTATATCAGGATAGCTGCAGTATAAACCTCAGGTGGTCTATGTGGGCATTGCAAATACGCCTGAGCAAACGTCTCCAATAGAGATTAGCTGGTCGCACGAGCAGACTGCTATCCTTGAATACGAGTGATCATATATATATATATATATATATATTTATTAAAGACATTTTTATTTATCGTTGTTATTTTATAGATACAAGTATTTAAGCAAATGCTCTGTTTAAGATAAACAGTATTAAATAACATTTACCGGCCTGAATGTCCGAGAAATTTTCATAGAAAATATTCGTTCATAGACAGGATTCGAACCTGCATCCTATACGGAACTGTCATATACGCTGACATGCCTTAACCACTCGGCCACCATGAACCTTATGGTAGACAAGGTCGAATTTACTGTTATAAACTACAATCTTCCATGAATCTCGTACATTCATAACTGCTCTGGCGTATCGAATGTAAACAAATTACGTCATATGTTAAGAAATGGACGAGGTCCGACAATTTATTTATTAAAGACATTTTTATTTATGTTTAACGTTGTTATTTTATAGATAAAAAGTATTTAAGCAAATGCTCTGTTTAAGATAAACAGTATTAAATAACATTTACCGGCCTGAATGTCGAGAAATTTTCATAGAAAATATTCGTTCATAGACAGGATTCGAACCTGCATCCTATACGGAACTGTCATATACGCAGACATGCCTTACCACTCGGCCACCATGAACCTTATGGTAGACAAGGTCGAATTTACTGTTATAAACTACAATCTTCCATGAATCTCGTACATTCATAACTGCTCTGGCGTATCGAAAAAAAATAAATAAAAATGTCTTTAATAAATAAATTGTCGGACCTTGTCCATTTCTTAACATATGACGTCATTTGTTTGCATGTCAGCGTATATGACAGTTCCGTATAGGATGCAGGTTCGAATCCTGTCTATGAACGAATATTTTCTATGAAAATTTCTCGGACATTCAGGCCGGTAAATGTTATTTAATACTGTTTATCTTAAACAGAGCATTTGTTAAATACTTATCTATAAAATAACATATATATATATATATATATATATATATATATATATATATATATATTTTTTTTATAGATACAAATACTTAAGTAAATGCTAAATGGTAAAAGAATGTCAGGCTATATGGCGGTTCCGTGTAGGATACAGATTCGATTCCTGCCGAAGGACATATGCTTTCTTTGAGATTTCTCGGACATTCGGTCGGTAAATGTTGTTAATACTGTTTATTATAAACAGAACATTTACTTATAAAATAACGTATAAAATTATATATATATTTAAATACTTGTCGGACTTAGTCCATTTATACATACATACATACACACACACACACACACACACACATATATATATATATATATATATATATATATATATATATATATATATATGCGTATATACGTTCCATCCTTTAGGATTTCTGTCTATGTATCTATGTATCTATCTCAGTCTATTCAGATCTATCTATCTAGGTAGCTAACGTGATCAGTCTTTTCATATCTATCTATCTATCTATCTATCTATCTATCTATCTATCTATCTATCTATCTTAATGATATGTCCCGGAAAGGGATATATTTGAACGAAGTAGCTAAGTGGTTTTGGCTACTATAACCAAGTAGAATACGGTAGCAGTAATCGACTGGTACGCGTCGTAGTCGCAGGTAACAAGTGTAGATCAATGGCGTAGTCCAGTGGGCGTCGTTATAGACTTAGCTCTCAGACTAAGGCTATTTGTCTCTGTCGTACCTACACGTCCGTCGGTATTTATGACGGACACCAGCCAATCATATTCCAGTGAGGGGTGGGGGCACAGGTGTACGCATATTCCATATCACTCAATATCTAAGATCTCCCCAACTCTTTCTATTAATCCCTCACATACTTTTATCTATATATTTGAAAGTTATTTTAAACCCGTTTTTCTTTCTCTTTTAATTTTAAATTAATATTTCGTTCTTCAAATAACCCCAAATTAATGTTATAAGGTTAATATTCGGGTTTAATTTTATAAAAACTTCTTCCGTTTTGTTCCACCCTTCCATGACCCCTGACTCGTGCCTTTCATCTGACTGCAACATTGACACGGATAAATTCTGTATTACGTTTTCAACTGGTGTCTTTCTTTTAAGCTTTCAGAGTTAAATTTTTATTTCTGACACGAAAACCGGGGTTGATAAGATGGAGGACCAATATCTTCGTCTGCCGAAATAGGCTATTCCCCATATGACGTGATTTTGAATTTTATTGTTTATTAAACACACACACACACACACACACACACACACACACACACACACACACACATATATATATATATATATATATATATATATATATATATAAAAGAAAGGACAGTAAGATATATAATCCGGTGTTCTTATAGATATTTTTATTTTTACAAAATAGTGCTCAATGTAAATTTACAGAGCATTAATGTTATAAATTAATTGTATTAAAATATGGTTTTTTTTCTCTACACAGTTCTAACGATGTTTCAAAAATGGAAGCTGGAAGCTCCGGATTTAGTTTTGTAATTAAATTAAAGACATTAGTTCCATTTCATCCTCAAGCGAATTTTGTCTTTAATTTATTTACAAAATTAAATTCGGAGCTTTCAGCTTCCATTTTTGAAACATGGTTAGAACTGTGTAGCGAAAAAAATATTTTAAATCAATTAGTTTTTAATATATATATATATATATATATATATATATATATATATATTGTGCGTGTGAACGCCATCGTTTGTTTTGCGTCCGTTCATGTACCCATGCAGGGCTAGTGCAAGGGTTTATGATAGCTCTCCCACCGTATCTATGTTACGGGCCTCTCAGTCTACTATGTATCAATTTTCATAAGTAGAGGACCATGTGGGTTTACGTGTTGTTGAATTAGAAACACGTGCTGTTTATTCCTACTAAAAAAGGTCCAACTACAAGGACATGGCGGACTCAAGTTGAATCCAACCGAAGAAGTAAAGAAAACAAACAAGACCGATATATATATATATATATATATATATATATATATATATATATATGTCAACAAATATATGTATTAAACAACAAATTTACAAGTGACAAAGACATCAACATTTGTGTTTGTTTGTGGACGTAAAGAGTTTGTATTTTTGGTGAATATTCGTACGTACGTGTATGTGTGTTTAAAGGAGTTTTCCCATATATGGGCAAAAACGCGGATTTCTGCGAGAGATAACATTTTTAAATGTGTCTGCTGAAATGCAAAGTCAAAAGAAATCTAGGCAAGAAGTCGCACAGTATTTATAGTGTAGGGAGAGCGACACCTAGTGAACAGTTAGGGAATTAAGGAGGAGCTAACTCCGACACTAGTATTCATATAAAATACGCATTTTATTGTCGGTTAATTATGTACAGTAATGGATCATATTTTTTTTTTTTTTTTGTATTGATGCGGCATTCACCCTGGGCTGATTGAGCCGGCTTCTTCCTGTTGTGAGAAGAAGATTCTTGGGATAAATTACAGAAGTAGGGTACCCAGGCCTACTCGGATAACGTTCTTGCTTGCCGCGGGGTTCCCACAGACGCAGAGACAGGAACAACCAGAAGCCGCCAGTTGCCGATGCAAACGCTCCTTGGATTTTCACCAGAGCCCTTGTTAGCCGGCGTGTGTGTCAGACCTGTCCGCCTTGGGTGGCCCTACCAGGAACGAAGTTCCGGACGGCATAGCTCTGACACTACAGTTTACACCCCCCCACCGACTGTGAGGTAAGGGTTGGATTTTGGGGGCTTACAGTACCAGGTGTTCCCAGGCGGTCCCCCATCTAAGTACTGACCTGGCTTAACTTCGGTGATCGAACGAGAACCGGTGTTTCAGCGTGATTTGACCGTAAGCTCAATGGATCATATGCAATGCAGGTAAATAATTCAAATAGAAAAATTGAAAATAAATACTATATATCTAAATATAAATTAGAGACATGTTATAATAGATCTTTCCATATTAAATCAACAATGTTTGCGGCTATATCAATTTGAGATTGTTAAAAAGTTGAATAATTTTAATACATTCAACATTATAGATAAAAAATAGTGAATTTTATGTAGTTGTTTAGAGATTTAGCAGGAGTAAGACGAATTCACGGATTCTCCTTTTCCTCAAATGACATCAAAATCCGTGAAAATTTATCATCCTTTAATAATCAGTTAGGCTTAGTTTAATTCGTAACGTACGTAAATATAAGGTGAAAATATATAGCTAGCAAGTGTCTGAAACCTATGCCCGACCCCCAATCAGGGTTGCTTCCAGGTCAGGGGTACTTCACACTGGCCTGTGCCTCTGTATGTGTTTTTTCTGTGTGTAAAACATTAGAGAGATAAGTAGACAGACTATACTCTCATTATAACCGCAGATGTTGAAAAAATAATCGCAAAGTAATAAGGATTTTTAATCAAGGGAAATCACTCGATAACTTAAGAAGCTTTTTGCCATCTTCCCCAGGGAATAAACGAATAACTAGATAAAAAAAAAAATCAATCAATATAAACGGTAAAGGGACTGATTAAAAAAAAGACGCCACATTCGATTTTATACAATTCCTAGAAGACTATTAAAACAATTCACTAGAATGCTTTTAAAGTAGAGAAAGCAAAGCAGAAACAGGAGAACATTTGAGCGACAAAAGCAGACATCTCTCATTTGAAGGCTAATGCTTTCCATACGAGTCTATCGAGAACGGCGTTAATGATTGGAAATCTAATTAAAGATGACGTCAATTACCTCACTTTTATTGCAAGGTTCGGACACAAAGGTAAGCAAGTTAAAGACAAACCAACAACAACAAAAAAAATATATTAAAGCAAAACAAAAGAAATTCTATTAAAAACACTAAAAGCACCCTCACTACAGTCATTTACTAAATTTAGCTTAGTCTGGCACAAGGCCTAAAGAATATGGCGCCAAACGAGAATTATAGTCGCTACTCAGTCTTAATGTTCAAACAGACTAGTTCGCTAATTGTCGACTCATTCCAAGGCGCCCAGTAACTACTTTTTAAACTGGGCTGAGTTTCACACACACACACAAAAATATATATATATATATATATATATATATATATATATATATATATATATAAATGTATGTATGTATGTATGTATGTATGTATGGTGCGACAGAAATACAAACCCAATACCTTCAAGTAAACAAATAAGATAAAAAAAAACGAGAAAAACTAATTAAATAAAATAAACAAAAAATCAATGAATACATAAACAAATTATGTAAATAATAGAAAAATTAACAAACTACGAATACCCTCATGAATACAAGTAAATATGAAATGGATAAATTCCGATAATTATTTTATGATGTTTTATGTTCATACATTCTTTTTATAGATACAAATATTTAAATAAATGATCTGTTTATAATAAACAGTATTAAACAACATTTACCGGCCTGAATGTCCGAGGAATTTTCATAGAAAATATTCAAACTCCGGCAGGAATCGAACCTGTATCCTATACGGAACTGTCATATAGCCGGACGTGCCTTTAAGCGATTTGGCCACAGAGGAGCGTTTGGTTATCAATTTCGATTTTACTGTCTTTAAACTACAATTTCCCACGAATCTCTCGTGTACTCTGTGGTTCAATCGGTTAAAGGCACGTCAGGCTATATGACAGTTCTGTATGGTATACAAGTTCGATTCCTGTCGGAGGACGAATATTTTCTATGAAAGTTTCTCGGACATTCAGGCCGGTAAATGATATCAATACTGTTTATTATAAACAGAACATTTACTTGAATATTTGTATCTATAAAAAGAATGTATAAACACTAAAAAAATGTCTTAAAACAAGTAAATATATAAATAACAATCAATAACAAATAATTAAGTAATCAATAATCAATAACGTGTAAAGAGTTATCACTGTTAAATATCTACAGATAAAAGCATTCGAATCCATAATTATTCATGGGAAAAACAGTGTGTATCATAATCCCTACTTGGAAATTATTGTGGCCTTGTTAGGGCCAGAAATATAGACAAATAGAGAGGAAGTAAGTTAACCAAATATATTCATGGAAACAGTAATACAAACATACAAACCAGAGTGTTACAGCAACAATGTTCGGTCCGACTGTCAGAGCTGACTGCTGAAGACTTCCTTCTCTAAAAGGCAGTACCTGCTCCTATTTATAACTAGGAGAGTCCATGCGTGTGTGGATAAATTACCATAACAGAAATAGTGGTCAAACTAATTCGGCGATAAACCCATTCCCAGGAAATCAGCTGCTTAAATCCATTTAGAACAAGGGCGCATATATGATTCCTTCAACGAGGATAGAAAGCACTATGATACATATAGTCTGCGAGACCAGCTTGCTAACACTTGGTGTTTGTTGAGGTAATTCTCGAGTGGTCGGGAAGTGTTATGGGATTTGCCTTCAAGTCCTCATGGTCGTAGGATATGGCACATGGTCGGTTTAACGTGGGCTGCCCAAACGCGCACGTATAGATCAAGGGCCCGCGGTTACTGTTATAAAGGGTGGGGCAGAGCAACTTGCTTATTTAAATTTGGCGCCCTAAAGCTATGGTTGCTCCAAGGATGGTAGGGATGGTCTTATTTGAGAGGGTGGGGCTTAAAGTTTGGTTCTTAACGTGCGTTATTTATTTTTTGTTTATTTTTCAGGAACCCCAGTGAGCATCATGGAGTGGACGAAGTTGGAACGCGCTTTCGCTGAGGCCTTTTTTTCAAGCGGTCGCTCAATCGTCGCAACGCAACGTGCATTCCGTAGACATTTCAATATTGCACCCCGTGGTCGTGTTCCTGGCCGGCAGTCGATTGTTTCATGGGTAAACAACTTCAGGGAAACGGGTGATGTAAAGAAAAAGAAACCTGGCCTCCCACGAACAGCAAGGTCACCCCAAAACATTGACACAGTGTATAGAGAAGAATGGACGCCATCTTACGGATATCATCTTTAAAACTGGTAAAAAATAAAATTTAAATGTTGAACTAGTTGCAGTTCAAAGAATTACATGTATACCTGCATTACTTGTGTTTTAATTGATATTCCAAATAAGCAAGTTGCTCTGCCCCACCATGTATTATAGTCAATATCCAATAACTATGCCCTTCAATGTAGTCAGGGTGGTGCTGCTATCTATCTATCTATCTATCTATCTATCTATCTATGATCCTTCCTAGGCATCAAATTCTATCTATCTATCTATCTATCTATCTATCTATCTATCTATCTATCTATCTATCTATCTATGTTTAATAATATCTAACTTTTTAGCTTTCATGGTTTATAAAATATCCCACTCTGCTTACTATCTATCTATCTTTCTATCTATGATCCTTCCTAGGCATCAAATTCTGTCTATCTATCTATCTATCTATCTATCTATCTATCTATCTATGTTTAATAATATCTAACTTTTTAGCTTTCTTGGTTTATAAAATATCCCTCTCTGCTTACTATCTATCTATCTATCTATCTATCTATCTATCTATCTATGATCCTTCCTAGGCATCAAATTCTATCTATCTATCTATCTATCTATCTATCTATCTATCTATCTATGTTTAATAATATCTAACTTTTTAGCTTTCTTAGTTTATAAAATATCCCTCTCTGCTTACTATCTATCTATCTATCTATCTATCTATGATCCTTCCTAGGCATCAAATTCTGTCTATCTATCTATCTATCTATCTATCTATCTATCTTTTTTATCTATCTATGTTTAATAATATCTAACTTTTTTAGCTTTCTTAGTTTTATAAAATATCCCTCTCTGCTTACTATCTATGATCTTCATCTATCTATCTATCTATCTATCTATCTGAAACATCTGTTCATCTATTTATATTTCCACTTTTCCTATCTATCTATCTATCTATCTATCTATCTATCTATCTATGATCCTTCCTAGGCAAATATCTTCGGCGGGTAAAATATCGCGAATAAATATAATATATTGCTGCATATATTATATATTCTGTTATTATTAACCAATCAGTGTTACGACATAAGTAAGGCGTGGCTTCATTTTTTTTTGTTGGTTTGATTTTTAGGTCTCATAGGTTTTATGACGATAAAATTAAAAAAAAAAAACAAACAAAAAAAAAAGAAATGCACCACGCGTTTTTATCACATGACTTCTAACGTTCAACTGCTAACAGCGTATCTTTTTTTTTTTTTAAATTGCGTCATTACGCCATTTGTAAAATTTTATTAAACTCAAAAATTTATTTGTAGCTACCCTGATGTCGACATGAGGTAGTTCAAAATTGAGATCATATTAATTTTACATTTTCTTCCGAAGTAGATTTGGATAATTCTTGACGAAATTCTCTTGTTGTGTGAGGCGGATTATTCGCAAATTGGAAAAGAAGATCAATAAAATTAACAGACATAAAATGTTGGCCGTTTTCAATAATATTTGCCTTAAAGAAAATTTTCTGCCTAAATAAACAATATATATATATATATATATATATATATATATATATATATGGCAAAAAAGATGGCCTTCATTGACCGAAGATAGTGATAGCAACTCAAACAGGCGTACCCACTAAAAATAACGTTTATTATATATATATATATATATATATATATATATATATATATATATATATATATATATAGTTCAAATTTTGAGATAATCACTGCTATTTTTAAATTCACCACAAATGTGTCGTTTTTTTACGATTAATAAGACAAAATTATTTTTCATGATTAAAAGGATATGAGACAATTTTTTATTAGAAATTTTATTATGACAAACAGAAAAAAAATGCATTTTTATTAAATTTTGCTCTCGTCAAAATATCCTCCATTAGCCTTGATTACTGCAGGACAAATTCTTGGCATTCGTTGCAAAAGTTTCTCAAAGTATAAGTTTGATAATTGATTGCATTATTCATTCTTTTTCACTTTTTGTCAAGTTCATCTCCTTCCTTTATTATTTACATTTTTTTCAAATAAAACATGCCCCTGTGTAAATGTTAGTACTTCTTATATCCATTCCACGAAGTCGTTCCTTGCAGATTCCCCACAGATTCTCGATTGGTTTTAAATCAAGAGAGTTTCCGGACGAGTCTATAGTACTTTGATTTGTTCACTGGTAAAGCATGCCTTTGTGTTCCTGCAGCGTTACAATTTTTCTACGCCACCTTGGTGTAATGTCCACCGTAGACAGTGGTCATAGGACAACTAATCGATGTCGAAACATTAGTGTTTGAGCTTAATAAAAATTTAATGACGCAGTATTTTTCAAGGCTAAACAAATTTCATCAAACAACCTGAAAATGGATTCATATTACTGCACACCACTGCAAATGACCAAATAGAAATCGATTACACCCTGGCACTTCTGTCGGTCTAAAACTGACCTTATGGTGAAAGAAAGTAAACTAAAGTGTTTGTTTCAATTAATTTGCACACACACACACGCACACACACACACACACACACACACATATATATATATATATATATATATATATATATATATATATATATATATATATATATATATATATATATATATAGAGAGAGAGAGAGAGAGAGAGAGAGAGAGAGAGGCAGAGACAGAGACAGAGAGCTTCATTAATAGATAGATTCATTAACCATTGGCAGGTTATTTAAAGCCCAAAAATATTTTTAGACTGTAACAAATTTGGGTGGGGAAAATAATAAGGATTTTGTGATACAAGTCTTGCCAATTAAAAAAATTGATGCAGTGAGAATGCCTTTTCTAACTGCACATCCACTCCTAGAACCAAGTGGTCACCCATCTAGGTACTGAGTTGTCACGGCATAGCTTAACCATGGTGATCGAACGGGTGTTTCAATATGATGTTGTTGTAAGCCCTTGATTGTTTGATAGATATATAGATAGATATATACGAACAGAAATATATAGGTAGATAGATATGAACAAACTGGGATATATATATATATATATATATATATATATATATATATATATAGAGAGAGAGAGAGAGAGAGAGAGAGTCGACTCTCCAGTCGAATTCGACGTATGAGGGCCAAGCAGATCAGTTCCAAGGAAACCGACAGTTCGACAACAGCACATGTGATTTGATTATAGTGGTGAAGGTGAAGGTCGACTTCAGAGACCTGGTGCACTGTGCCACAAGGTCCCCAAACAAAGCCTCCGCAGGTTTTGAATTTAGATTTTCCTTCTCCTAGACCAGTTTCCCCAAGGCTATACAACCCAAACTGACCTGCTATTTACCCATAGCTGGAGGGAGAAGAAGAGGATTCACACCTTTCCCAAGGGTATTAGCACGTAATTGAATGTAATGGATTCAACTGGAATTTGAACTCTGCTCTGCGATTCCTCTATCCATTACTCCACCGTGCCTCCCATATATATATATATATATATATATATATATATATATATATATATATATATATATATATATATGTGTGTGTGTGTGTGTGTGTGTGTGTGTGTGTGTGTAAAACACATATGACCATCTACCTTGTATTTTTATTTTTGCCACAAAAAATCGACTGACTCAAACAATGAAAATTTGCTGGCAACGTCTTTTGCCACTGATTTTCATTAAATGTGTGTGAGTTCTTTCCGTCTGTACCACTTAATAAATTAGACATTGGCAAATACTGTAAAAGCATAATGTAAGTCTGAAAAAAAAAATAAGACAACAAACGAAGTAACTGAAAGAATAAAACTGATTTGAAAATCAAAAGAAAAAAAGTAAAAGATATAAAATGAAACTTCGTATTTTTAATCATTTGATTAAACATTTACGTTCTGAATGGATTTCGTGTTTCCTATCTAGGTGAAGGTTGTTTAGACGGCTCCCGTGAAGGCACGACCGACTTCATACTTCGAGTTTCTATTTACTTTCAACTAAAAATTTCCTTTTCATTTTGTATTAAAATCGAAGTCCTCCATTTTTCCTAAAGATTAATCAAGTGTTTGTTTGCTGAGAGTACTTGGACTCTTTGGCAGACATTAAGAACTGAATATTTAATAACTTTTTATTTATTTTAATCCGTAATAATGTGTTGTATTCATACGTTTTTTTTTGTTGTTTTTTTTCATGCTTCGTCTCGTTAAGGAGCGCGCTCTAATCAAAGACAAAATTATCACGTGCCTTGGAAAACCAATAATTACCACTAAAGATGCACGTCGACTGCAGATATTTTGGACTAGCATTTGCACTAATTCTACCTTAGCTTCTTCGTATTTAAGCAACACGCCCTTTCGAGCGCTTCTTTGATACAGATTGAAGCACCGAAACCTTGTCTCAAGACACTGGCATTGTAATCTGCATCTTTGAAGAGCGATCGGTATATTCAACATGCATTGCAGATGCCAGCACCGTTGTTGATGGCAGCAGTATTGCCCCACGCCCAATGTTAAAATTAGCATGTGGCTTAAAAGTTCCATCAATTGGCACCTGATCACGCCCTTATTATCCTATAAGAAAATTAATCCGAATTAATTATAGCCTATTATCATTATGATTACAAATGGTTTGATCTTGTAATAATAAAAATAAATGTTGACCTCCCTGAAAATGAAAGCAGAGGTCCGATTTCAAATGACTACTGCAGCACCATTTGTTTAAAAACTAGATACTGAATACACAATTGGAAACGGTTTATTTGTTTGCAAAGATTTAGCACAGATATCATATATATATATATATATATATATATATATATATATATATATATATATTTCGTTAAATAATATAGACAAGTGTCGTCTATTTATTTTATCTAAATTCTTTTCATAACGTCTGATAAGTTTAATAACACAATCATTGGACGAAGAAAGAAAGTCACAATATTGATCCATATTTTTTAATACTATCTAAGCTTTCGGCTTATATAAGCCATTATCAAAGATGTCAATTACAACATATTAAGCAATATACGGACAAGACAGTGATGATAGTCTGTGATTGTTTACATAGATGATTTCTAAGCAACGATAAACACGTGCATATAAGACGCTAGAAGCGAAAATCGCACCGCATCTCATGACGTCACACATGACCACGCGAGAGTGAATTGGAGAAGTATGAAGTATGGGAAGCTTCTGTTACCAATTATAGACATTTAAGAATATTTGTAGAGATGCTATAATTGATTTTGTTTAGGTTGGGTTTCAACTGTTTGATGTATAATGCTTCAAGGATTTTTAGTTTTTGTCTATTGTTTTCATGTCGAAGTATAATTGTGTTTTCGACAAGTATTTTACGGAATTTTTCATTTCAACTTTTGGAAGTAAAGTCTGATGATCCAGAGCCCTGTAAAAGGTTGTGGTGAAATAAATTATTACATGGAACCTTAAAGTGATCTGTTTTATTCAAATATATATATATATATATATGTATATATATATATATATATATATATATATATATATATATATATATATATATATTCTTAACTGAGGAACTGTGAAACAGCGAAACAATTTGTCTATGGATGACTATATATATATGTTCCCGGAGGTCCGGTTGAGCTCTCGAAGGAAAGTGGGTTTAAAAAAACAGTGGCTCCTACTGCTATTAAGCATTACTCTTTAAGTATGAATTAATTTCTCCGAGCCGTTGGCGTATTTCGTATAGGGAAAAAACGTTAAAATTCCTTCCTTTCTACCGTGCGACGATGGCCTAAATATCTCACTGATATCAAATCTGTCGGGTTTCGATCCCGTCTTGAAGCAATCGGACGTCTAGCCACAGTGAGGAGCTGAGATACAGCGAAACAGTCTGTGGATGGCTTTATTGAAAAAAAATTATCCAACATTATTTCTTCTTATTAGAAACGTTATTTTTAGTAGGTACACATGTTTGAGTTGTTAAAAACAACCGGTTTGATTCCTCGAAATTATCATATCTTTTCCGTTTCTACATA